GGATGGAAATGAAATTTGTTACAACGTTGCACTTAGTCTTTCATATTTGTTGTTAGTAATTTAAAAGACATTTTGAAACACATACGGAACGATAATAATTTTTTAAAATATAACAACACAAAAATGAAAAGGGAACTCGGGTACAATTATTAAATCTCTAACTACATTATTAATTACTACATTCCACTATACCTTTAAAATGCAGTCTACTTTTGGATAGTTCTCTAACATTTTCGGTCTAATTCATAGACCTTCTTCAGGATTGATGTAAAAAAATTTTAAAAATTTGAATTTTCCCAACGGGTACATTTATCAAGAGCCACAAATAATCCTTCAAAGAGCCGCATGTGGCTCGCAAGCCACAGGTTGGCCACCCCTGTATTATAGGGATCTTCTGAAAATATGTCAACACTATGGACACTAATGTTGTGTAAGCCTAATGGTTGAGACAAAGCAATTTTGTCCTTTGCTTGGGCAATTTAGTTTTTCTGGAGAGGGTCAGCATAGAGGGACGTATCACACTGAGATCCTGTCTGAGGCATACCTGAATGTAAGCTACTGACTCTTATACGAATTGGAGTGGGCAATCCTCTTAAAAGCAAAGGGTCAAAGACCCCAAGACAGTTTTTTGAGATCTCTCAACCAAGTTGGAAGAGAGCTAGAGTTTCCTTAGAAGTGTTGTATGCACAATTACATCTAGACTCAGACAGCAGACATCTGATCGTTGGGACTATCATCCGGTGCTGCCGGATTCTATGGACACTCCTGTCGAAATGACCCATCTCCAAGTAAAGGAAACTGTGCTCAAAGAAAGGCTGTAAGGTGACTTTTGGATGAACCCAGGCAAGTTCTAACTAAAAAGGGAGAAAGGAAGATCATTCAATCAGGAACAGATTGATGGTTAACCCTTGTGTACATCACTACTATTATCTGGCAACACAAATCAGTTATCTATCATCATGAGTCTGGCAAATTTATACTACAAATATTTTCTGTATTTTGGTTTAATAAAGAATTAAAATAAGTACCTAATTATTTTTACCTACTTATTTTAGAATTTTATTATTAGTTCGTTTACTTGGGGCAGCACTTAATTAGGTCAAAATGGATTAGTCCCAACATGTCCCTATTAAGTAGAATCAACTGTATTGATTATATTAAATTACCAATTATTGGTTTAAAAAATTTGAAAAATGTTATGTACAGTGGAACCTTGCTTAACGAGAAAAGCAAATTGTGAAAAAATAACTTGCTTAATGAGCAACATTTTACAAAATGAATGACGAGGAGAAGGGAAGTCCTGGATTGTGCACATGCTCCATCAGTCTGTGTTTAGCACTTGTTCCTCTAGCATCTTAGGGCACATACTATGTGGCAGTATCCAGCAACTGTGAGCGTGAACATGCTTCCAAGCAGAGCAAACAAACTGGTTCAAGCAAATATGCATGTCCAGAGTAACTGCATTTAGCATACAGTGACCACCAGATAACACTTCTACCAAGCAAGTTTGATCGCCGCTTCCACTGCTCATGCTTCCAAAAAACAAAATGGCTGATTTTGTAGATGAATGAAAACAGAATGACAAATAAATTGTGTATATATGTTGTATGTACTTTACTTAATAATCTTTTATGTAGTTTAATATTTCTGATTTTGTAAATGTAATGTTTTAAAAATAAAACTTTTTTTTAACTTATTATTCTATGAAGATTAAATATTTGTTGTGTATCTAGTTAGTAATAACAATTACCTGTCAAATTTACCATTTTAATGCTTGTCATATTTTCTATAGCAAGCATTCGATGAAGTCGTCTTGCCACCATTTTGTAAACAACATGCGTCCACTCTGGATAGAAGTCGCTTGTGAGTTGGATGCATGTGCAAAGACTCTTTCCACTTGCAATTGCTGTATGCTGCCATGTAGGACATACTCTTAGTGTCACTTCTGATCACACATATTACATATAAACATCAACAACCTAACTTTAATAATTATAAATAATTAATTTTTAATTTAGACATTTCTGGAATTAACTGGAATTGGTCATTAAATTTAATATGAGATGGCAGCATAACTGTCAACCTCTAGTTAAATTAATTATTTTCTAATATTTAATTATAGCCTTTACATAGCCCAAGAATTTGGCATATCGTTTGGTGTGTTTATCAGACATATTATCTGCGTTATTTTTTGTTTTCTGCATATCAAATTCACATTTCAGGTTAGTTCATTCCATGCTAGAAGAAATGATGATGATTCACACTCCTTAACAATATATATTGCATAATTTTCTTTGAATAAACATTATACGTAAAATATTTGAGAATTTTTTCGGTGTGGAATGCATTAATTTATATGAGAAAAGTTGAACACATGTTTCACAGTATGAGTAAGATTCTGGAATGAATTATGCTCATTAAGCGAGGTTCCACTATATTTCATAGCACTCAAATTGTTTCTAACTTTTTATCACTTAACAAAACTTAATATAATTGATTATTTTAAAGTTTTTCTCAATCAAAAATTTTACAATTCAATTTCAAAAGCAGGATGCATCTTAGAATTAAAGAACTATATATAAGTAACCTACAAAAATAATTAATATTTATTTCACAATTTCTTTTAATGAAATATTAAAATACCTTAAAAAGTTAGTTGTTTAATTTCATTTAATCTAAAATTATATATATATACAGCATCCACTTAAAATAATTACTTTGGAGCCTGCCTATACTGATAACAATAACCAATTGATAACAGTAAGCAGGATAAGTAAGATCATAATTAGTGGAAATTCTAGTTTTACTGACTGACATTAAAAGGACACATTAAAACAATTAAGAAATATACAATATATCTTAAAAATTTATTATTTACAATTATTTTATTTATTAATAGTAATTTATCCAGTATTGCTTGCCTGTTAACTGTCTTTAACAACTGTTAAAGTTTAACTGAGGTAAGAAATGCCAACAATTTAAGCTATTGCATTGTGAGCAAATAATGATAACTGATAATGATAGTGTGTTATCAACACATATTAAGGATGACAATATGAAAGACAGCTTAAAAATGCTTACATACCAAAGCTAATGATTACCATACTCAATTCTGATTACCATAAGCAATGTTTTTATAGTGTATTTTCACTTATGTTTTGGAACCTAATAATTTTAATCATATTAAATGAATGACAACAATATCCATGATTATAATAAGTGAAGCCTACTGTATTTTCAAATAAAAACATATCTGTTAAATCCATAAAATATATATTTATAACAATTCTTATCAGTATAATGTTTTCACAGAAATTCAAAAGATTCTAAATACAGTCGATTCTGTTTAATTGGTCCACCAGTTAATTGGGGCAGCCACTTTATTGGGTATTTATCTCAAAGAACGGAAACCAAACTAATAAATTAATACATAATTTAATTGTTTAATCGGGTCAGTAGCCGAAAATGTATTTAGCAATTTTTGATATATTTTAGGAAGCTTCTTAAAATATGTCAACACTACGTACACTAATGTCGTGTAGGTCTAACAGTTGGCAGAGACAAAGCGATTTTGTCTTGCTCGGGCAATTTGATTTTTCTAGAGAGGTCAGCATAGCAGGATGTATCACACGAGGACTTCATCTGAGACGAACCTGAATGCAAGTTAGTGACCCTACTCTGGATTGGACCGAACGATCCCCTTCAAAGTGAAAGGACAAAGGTCACTGGACAATTGTTTAAGGTTTCTCGACTAAGTTAGAAGACAGCTAGAGTTCCTTGTAAGGTACTGTGTGCATAATTACGTCTAGATTAGGACAGCAACCATTCAATCGTTGAGACCAGCATCTGGAGCTGGCAGATTCTACAGACGCTCCTGCCGAAGTGGCCCATCTCCAAGTAAAGGAAACTGTGCTCAAAGGAAAACCATAAAATGACTTTTGGAAAAATCCTTTTCTTTCTGCCTTTTTAGTTAGAACATGTTCTAACTAAAAAAAAAAAGGAAAAATTGTTCGATCAGGAATGGATCGAATGGTCAATCCTTGTTTATGTGACTACTAATATTTGGCAACACTAGCATTATATGAATCAGTTATCTATTGTCGTGAGTCTAGCAAATTTATATTACAAATATTTTCTGTATTTTGGTTGAATAAAGCATTAAAATAGGTACCTAATTATTATTTTTTACCTACTTATTTATTTACCTATGTATTACATATTTTATTGTACAATTTATTATTAGTTTGTTTAATTGGGGCAACCACTTAATTGGGCCAAAATGGATTAGTCCTAACATGTACAGTCAATTCCATTTACTTGGAACACATGACAAATTTATTTTTAAATTTGTGTAATCAACTATTTTTTTCAGTTGTATATTCAAATATTTAGAAGAAAAAACATTTGTTTTATATTTGCATCATGTATATCAAGAAAATCCAATGCAACCTACGAAAGCAAAATGTACCAATTTACTTGGTAGTATCTGTAGAGAAACTGACTGCTGCACACACCCACGCATGCAAGCAAACACATATCACTATACTATACATGTGCAACAGTCAGTCTACTTGTAGATAGACAGAAGCTGGTTGTGTAACTATATTCTTTTAAGCCTGAAGTACTCCTTTAAATTTTGGGTAAATTACTAGCTTGCATTTAAGCTGTCTTAAACTTTCCATCTTTCCATAATAATGCTATTGTATTAATAACATAAAACATGTAATTTATAATAAAATAAATTAAAACAACTTAGACTGAAAGTACACGTAACAAGCAATTATTTTTAGTATATAAATCCAACAAAGAAAATATCCTAATATCAAAAGTTTTTAAGATAGTACAATATATTTCTTGCAGATTTTAATATAGAGCATAAATATAAAGTCACAAATTGAAATTCATTAGAAAACTTATAAATTTCTAATGAATTTCATTGCAGAAAAGATATCCATCAACAATATGATTGTATAGTACTTAAAGAATGAAAGTGAACTTACCACTTCATGTCTGCTTTCATCTTGAGTACCTCCCATCCTAATTAGAATTAAAAAAAAAAAACGTTTTTAGAAAACAATAAAAAATATCCAAAATTAAAAAAACAGCATTTATAGAAGTGTAAAATATTTTATTCTAAAATTTCGAGAACAGTTTATATTATTTAATAATAATGAGTTTTGATATTAATTTCCAGTAAATTTATATCATGTATTTACAAACTTAGTGTGTTTATATTAAATGATACAATTATTGGATTCTTTAACTAGAATATAATTTGCTAAATTTGGAAATTAGTGATAGACTAAAATGAATACTGAAATTGACAGAACTGTCATTTATTAATAAATAAATTACTTAACTATTAACACAGTAATTCAATCATCCTTAATTATTTGCACATATCTTCCATTTAATAAAATATAAAAAAAATCCAACAATTAATAATCCTCAGCTGAATGAAATTTTTTAATGTTTTCTCAGAAATCATACTCTACCATTTCAATATTTTAAATGTATAAAATATATTAACATATTTTTTGTATTATATAATTAAAATTTCTTGTGATTTAGTGATATTGTTATTAAAACTGTCAGGTGTGTATATCATAGACGAATTGTGTATATCTGGCTCATTGTAAAGGGCGTCATCACTTTACAATGAGCCCAGCAAATTGGAAAATCATCATCTATTTGCTATTCAGCCTTACATTTCTTAGGCATTTTGCAATCAACCTACAGAGTTTTAGGCAATTAACAAAGTGAACTTCAGTTTGTTCAATTAGCCTGATCGATTCTAGGCTTATTAGACAAACAGAAGACAGATGTCTAAGAAAGATTATCATTGTAAAGTAACCTTAAAATAATTAACATAATACAACATAATAATGATAGAAAAATGAATAATATAAAAATTAATAAACAAGAATAATAAATAATAATTACAATATATTTGTGATATGGCAATGAATAAAACAGAGTAACACTGTTACATCAAAAATTAATAATACTGAATTTTTATGAAAATAATATTAAATTGCTAGACGTTTTTGTTCAAAATTAATTGTTAAAAAAAATGGTATAATAATTAGGAAAAATGAAAAATACTGATTTACAGTTTTCACTTGGGGCACAAATGTTCCATTTATTTATTTACACACAATAAACTGCTGTGACATTTTGATGTGCATAATTGGTTTACCTTCTTACATGTGCATTTTTTTTGTTTGACAATGTTTTTGATACTATACACTTACAATTGACAAATCCCCCAAACTTTGATTTTTTGGCCACAGCTTCATGTAGAGATACATATTTTTCTGGAATGTCTTCAAAAATTTGCATCCCAGAAATCTGGAAATCAATTCTGCTGAACCAGGTCTTAATTATGCCACCCTTTGTTCCAATTTGATAAACATTATTTTCTGCATCAAAAATTTTTCCTATTACATTTTGGCAGTCTAATGGCACTCACTCAACCTTTGGAATGTTCAATAAAATGAAGTCCCCAACTTCAAAACATTTTAGTTTTTTATTGGTAGTAATTTCAATCATTTTTTCTGTTACTCTTTTCTGACATCTGTGTGATTGTTGACATTTCTCTGCAATTTTATTTTGTTGTTTGTAAGTGCTGCAAACATAAATGTCACTAATGTCTTTAGAGGTCCCTCCAATATTATGAACACAATTCTTATGAAGTCTCATCACATACAATGAACATATTACTTGTGATTCATTTGGATCACACACAGAACAAGCCTCTTTCTCAAAAATTCCCATCTGATTTTCATTTACTTCCTCAACAGCTTCTCGTTCTAAGCTATTTTCCTTAAGTTGCATCAAATCTTCACTATGAAGAGTTTGTAAAATTTCTGATGAAATATTCATTGACCCTAATCCTAATTTTGGTTCTGATCCAGAGTGCTGTATATGCTGTATACAGACTTCTGCCTATAACTCAATGCTTAGAAGAGTTCTTTTACCACTGGACGAAATGGCAGCCTATAATACCATCTATCCATGCACTTAACATATTTTCAACATTCTGATTGCATCACTCTATACGCCCCTGGGATTGTGAATGTTGGGGTCTTCTGTGCACTATTTTACATTCAGGCCATATAACTAAGTTGCTCAATGAAATTAGCTGTAAATGCTCTTCCATTGTCACTGCAAAATATAAGGCACATCAAAGTCTAAAAATATTTTCAGCAGTGCAACTTCTGCTGCACGTTTTGTTTTCAAAGGGCAAAAAACACAAAATTTTGTTGTGTGATCTTGATAGTTCATTAATCATTTGTAGTCTCTACAGGGAAGTAGATTGAAAATCAATCAAATCAACTTGGCCCCGGAGGATTTCAATCTTTGAAGCCAAGTTGATTTGATTGATTAGTAATTGGTCGTACAACAATATTTTTGTGATGTTGAGACTTCTTCAAATTGCACATTTTATATAGCGATACAAATACCTCAACAGCTGTCTTGGAATGTAAAACTTATTTTTCGTAGCAAATAACATTTTATTACGACCTCAATGACCTGTTGAGCAATGATATTGGAATAATATATCAAAATATTTCTCAATAGGAAGGAATTATCACAACAGGATTGTCAATGCTTTATCTTTTCTAATTAAAAGTCGCTTTTCCCTGACCTCCATTGTATCATATTTCTTAATTAGTTCTACTGCTTGCTACTTTTATTCTTGTCAGTTTCATAAATCTAAAATTTCATGGACCACTTCATTTACACTTGAAGTCGTCCAACATTTTTTAATTACATAGTCATTCTTACTACTGTATTCTTTCATTTTTTCCATTAAATTTCAACTTCATACATCATATTTCTTCTTTGAAGTTATTTATACTATCATTGTCCTGCATATTTTCTTTGCTGTTAAATGTATTTCCTATATCCATCTCCATTTCTAAGTCACTTTAAATACAAGCACGACACAAACACGAGATGTAATTATTTAAATTCTGCTAAATTTTAACTCAAAAAAGCAACTGAGACCATTACATGCATGCTAGTAAACCTGGGTGAAACCATGTTTTCAAGGGGTGTTTGAAAACCTGACCAATTGTATTAACACAAGAAAGAGAGAGAGACATTATGCTAGCCTTTCAAAGAAGTCACATTACAATAAGCCTAGAATTGATCAGGCTAATTGAACAAACTGAAGTTCACTTTGTTAATTGCCTAAAGTTCTGAGCCTGTTTGCAAAATGCCTACAAAATGTCAGGCTGAAAAGCAAATAGATGGTGATTTTCCAGTTCGCCTACGACATATATATCTCATTGATAACAGTAATTTAAATTCACATTTATTCAGGTTATTAAATTATTAAAATGTTTTATACGTAAACTTAAATTTCCATCAGCAAGACATTAAAATGTAATGTAGAGTTAATCTTGTTTATACATTTTTCAAAAGAACTGAGAATATTGTATAAACAAGGAAAACAGACATGTGAAACGACAGTCAAACTCAGTTATAACAAACAGATATAATAAGTTCACTGTTATAACAAGAAAAACGTCATAACAATTTTAATTTATGCATATTTCTGTACATTTTCTCACAGTTATAACAAGCATACTTCAAACAATAAACCAAGCAAATTTTTGATAGCTTTGCAAAACACGGACATTCTTAATGGAAGTAAGAAATGCGGTACCGAATTCTTAGTAGAGATAAAACTGAAAGGATTACTTTACTTAGTTTTATGATCTTAAGTGATAATTAGGCCTGATATCCACTAACTTTCTTTTTGGAGACCATCCCCCTCTTTTGAGACTAGCTTCTGGCCCTACTATGCCAATTTCCCTAATCATCACTATGATTATAAAATTAGCATATACAGTAGATCCCCCTATAAAACCGTTTCCTATAGTTATGATTCCTATAAAAATTGTGGCAGTATCCGTAAACAACGGTAAAAATAACTCCTATAATACGTAAAACGTCATCGGGCAGCCGAACTACTTTCCCACCGTCCGTAGCGCCACGCTACGGACGTTTAGGCGGATAAATTGAGTTTAGTATCGTCTGTTCATATAATTATATATAAATTAGGTACTGTACATATAATTATATATTAATTATATATAAATTAGGTACTGTATATATAATTATATATTAACTTAATTTATTGTAACTTTATTATAATTAAATATATATTTTTCGCCGTCTAGCGTCACGCTACGGCGAGTTAGGCGACCTATCGTCTGTCCAGTACTGTAATTTTATACATTTCTTGTGAAAGAAACATTTCTTATTTAACGGCCATAAAAATTATTTATATTAAGGATGTCTCCAAAGGTCAACGAAGTTTTCGCAGAAAAATAATATCAGAAATCGCGGCCGCGGTTTGATGCGCTGTTCCGCAACGAAACCAAGCTTTAGCAACAGGCGTAGTCGAACGATACACACTCGGTAAGCAATCCTACAATTTTTTGTTCATAACGTAGTTTATACGGATTATTTTCAAAAAAATATACGTATTTTGGAAATGTTGAGTCGAATTAGTCTAGAATCGATTAATTTTATGAAAGAAAACCTTTCAAACAGCCGTAGTCCGTAAACTATGATTCCTACAAAATTGATTCATAAAGAACGGAACATATCTACCGTCTTATAGGGGGATCTACTGTACTCTAGTTAGAAACCAACCCTTCCATCAGAAAGATGTCTAGGAAGGAAAAAAAATGTGTCTGTTTACAAAAAAGTAAAAATTATTTGCAAGTTAAAACATGGTGCTAAAAATGTCAGTGTGTAGAAAGTTTTCTTTGTCTTTTTTGATAGTATTGACATTATGGAAGAATAAAAATGTCTACTTATTGGTACGGGAGAAAAATATAACCTAAACAAAAAATTAAGAATGTGAATGTGCAAACATTGATGAAGCACTGTTTCAATGGTTTAGTACCATTTAGTACACAAAGAAGTGCTGGATTTTCAATAGATGGACTGGTGTTGAAGACTCAAGCAGAAAAATTTGCTAGACAATTTGAATGCAACAATGATTTACTAAATCA